AGGTATCAAACAGCTTCTGAAACAAGGATCAGTGCAGAAGGTATACAATGGACTGCAAGGATATTAAGAGTGAATAAAATTGGACTTTGTTGAAAATAAGTGAATCGGCGATATTTATTATCTGCAGGGTTTTTGTGTGTGGTTTTGTTTTTATTTTCATATGCAAGTTTTAATTTTTTTCCTGATGGTCATCATGATGTGAATAAGAGGGCTTAAGAATTTTTCCATTTGCATTCAGACAAGAATGACCAGGAAAATGGTTCACTAATACCTCTCCCTTTGGGGATATATTGTCTGGTGCTGCCACCTGAATTTCAAGAATTAAAGCTGCAAGAGGACTGTTAAGAACAAAAGAAACAAGGCGAAGGGTTGGAGCTAACTGTTAGTTACTCCATTCAAAATGCCAACTGGAGAAGTCTGTTTTTAAATACATCTTGTTATTTTTTCCTGACTCCTGTTTCTTTTCTCCTGTGAGCTATTCGGGTTGTCCTCTCTCCCCACCATGCAAGATGGACATACAAGCATGCAAAAGAATGCTGAGATGCAGTCCTTGCTCCACGAAACACACATGGCATCTTCTAGCAGAGAGCTTGAAGAAAACCAGTAGATTAGAGAACGGGCTACAAAAATCAAGATTATACAAAGATCTAACTGTCCTTGAGAAAAAGTATATTTTCTCTCATTTGGGAACAATAAAATCTGATATGGATACTTTATTGTTGAGAAAGAAATTTCATGTATATAATAATCCCAGTTGACCCATGATTAGAAAACCTTTGGTTTATTTTAAGAACTAGGCATTGACTCTAGAAAAAGAACTCAAAGGGCTGGGGATGTAGCTCAGTGGTGCAGCGCCTGCCTGGCAAGCGCAAGGTCCTGAGTTCAAGTCCAGGTTCCAAAAAAAGAACTTAAAAAAGTAGAATCACAAATTACGTTTGCTTCCAGTGGCATCTGATTCAGATGGCACGTGATGAGTACATTTGGCTCTTGAACCTCCTTCAGTTCTTTACATTATACTGTCACGTCACTGTCCACTTCTCGTGTACTTTGGACACGAGCCTCTGCTAGTGAATGTTTGAGTTCTTTTGAATGATTGCTACCGCAAGGTGTGGAGCTGCCTTCCAGCCATCAGTGTAGTTCCTGTAGCATCTTTAGCTCTGTCCATACAGCAGCCAATGCTAGTACTAGAAGTCAGATGAAACCACTTCAGTACTTCTCCAAGTTTGGCAGGCTTTCTATACATTTAAGATTCATTATGTAGTGAATTGCCGCTAGTTGACAGGCTTTTAGAAATGATCGTCCACATTTCCCCTTCCATATCTTAGATCGGGAGAACCTGAATCATTATTTGGACTTGCTTTTCATTATCTCCACTATTGCAGGGTATACAAGATCAGTCAAGATGCTAAGAGCTAGAGTTACCAGCCTTGGGTAGAAAGATCCCACGAAGGTGATGTTCTTCCTGTGAAAAGTGTTAATGGGGCTTTGTTGTTCTTTTTCATCTGATTTAACTTATAATCCTGGGATGGCTATGAGTTAAAGTTAGATAACTTTCATTATTGGGCTCTGAACTTGAGTTCTCTGTAGGTGTTTTATCTGAGGCACCTAGCAAAGATTTATATTAAAGTTGCATGGAATTTTTTGTAAACCACAGTGACAGAGGATGTTGGGGATGGTGGGAGGATCATAAAACTAGACTCCCAGCTGCTTTCCTGGAAGTCAGTGCTCTCCAAAGATGGACCGGTGCTCCCTGAGGCCACGGGGTCCACGTAGACAGAAGATCTCCATCTGTCCAGGAGTGCTGTAGAATGGGCTCCTGGCCTTGGAGGTTGTAGTCAACATAGAAATTCCTTTCGAGCCAGAGATTTTCATGGATGTATTAGAGTGCAAACGAAGTGAAAACTTACTCTCTTGAGCAAAAATACTTCCTGAGTGCTTACTATGAGCTAGGTTCTGTTCCAAGTACTTTATTTATATATTTTTGTTGTCTTTTTAAGACACGGTGCCACTATGCAGTTCAGGCTGGCCTTGAGCTCACTTTGTAGCCCAGGCTGGTCTTGAACTTGCAACGATCCTCCTGCCTCAGCCTCCCTCCCAAGTGCTGGGATTACAGGCATGCGCCACCATGCCCGGCTCCAAGTACTTTATATAGTTAAGCTCTGTTATACGGATGAGAGATTTTTTATTACCCAGTTATGGGTGAGGAGATGGAGCTACATCTTCCAGCTTACAAGTGGTAGGACATGGATTTGAACCCAGGAGCCTCCTCCAGAGAATGGATTCAGCTGTGATGAATTCCTAAGTAGAGAAACATTGTGGAAGGATGCCGGGCAATGATGGGAGGAGAACAGGAAAGAGTGTCCTTAGACCTGCAAAAGAAAAGAGTCACGCCAGGAGCTAGGTAATGAGGTAGAAAGGATGCTCGGCCTGGAATCAGACTTAATCTGTGTGACCCTGGTGAAGCTGTGTAACCTCTCTGGGTCTGTTTTCTCATTTGCATGATAAACTAAGCCAGGGTGATGTTTCTGTGCCTTTTTAACGTCTGTTTATTGAGACATCCACTGGGGTTTGCTTCCTGCTCCTCGGCTACTTCCCCTATTGGTTAGCTTGCTGGCTGCTGACCTGGCTGACTGTTAGTGCTCAGAAATCACTGTGGAAAGGAGAAACGATGTGGGAACTTAAAGCCTAATTTCAAAGTTGGATTGGGTGTTAGCAGAAGTGGGAAGAGAATCTTATTCTATTTCTTGAGAAAGGTAAGTTGCTACTAACTCTCAGAACAGCTTCTAAACAGAAAGACATGCAGGAACTCGGGGAGCTCAGAGAAGAAGAATGCATCTGGTCAGGGCTCACATTTCCGGTAGTTCAACCACTGAAATAAATGGTCCCAGCACTCACGATCAGGTTTGGATACAGGCAGTGGGCACCCATGCAGCTCCTATGGTATTTTCTATGCCAAAGAATCCAAAATCCTAAGGAGAAAAATATTTTTGAGGGGAATAACTTTTGGGACAGCCACTGTATGAATGTGGCCATTTTAAGAATGACAAAATTAAGCCAGGCATGGTAGGGTACAGCTGTAATCCCAGCACTTGCGAGGCTGAGGCAGGAAGTTCACCATGAGTACAAGGCCAACCTGGGCTACATAGTGAGTTCAAGGTCAGCCTGAACTGTATAGCAAAAAAAAAAAAAAAAAAAGACCCATTAGAGGGCAATTTCCTCACAGATTTGAGCATTAATGTAAATTCTCTAAAGTAGCAGAGTCCTACATACTAGCCACATGTGACTCTTGAGCACTTGAAATGTGCTGAACCCAGTCAAGGGGTGCTCTGAAGTATAAAATACACCCTGGATTTTGAAGACTTAGTATAAGAAAGAATGTAAAATAGTTTAATTTTTTATATTGATTATACAGTAAAATAGCATTTGGAGTTTATTTGGTGAAGCGTTTTATTTATTTATTTTTTATTTTAAAGAATA